ACCTTTTAAGTGCGCATGTCTGAAAATTCTCACAGCTTCTGTAAGGGTGAGGGTACAGGAGCCTCCGACCTGATCTTCAGTTCAACAGAGCCTGTGAACTGACTCAGCGCGCCTTAGAGCCCTTTCCTCTGACCTCCAAACCCTCAGTCCACCCAGGTCAGAGAACTCAGCCTGCCGTTTTGCAACTGTTGACTTTCCAAGCTTTCCTCACAAAACGTGAGCTCTCTTGGTGTCCCCAGGTGTTGGCACAGAACATGTAGTCAGAAAAGGCTGGATGGATGGATGAAGCAGAGAGGAAGAAGAGGAAAAACATCTGGTCCAGTGGTTTCTTTATTCCCCGGTGGAAACAACAACCTTGTTCCTGGCAGGGGTTTCACCAGACACTCCCAGGATCTGTGGGCATGTCTCGTGGACATACCAGACCCCACTGTCCTGGGATTCTAAACATGTTGAACAAAACCTCAATGACTAACAACCACAGGATGGAGAACATGGCCACTTCCCTGTTTCCGTGGAACCCGACAAACCCTCTGACACAGCAACAATTCTCATGGGCACCACAGTGAAGAGCCCACAGGTAAATACTTCAGAAGCAGCAAAGGCCTTCCCTACGTCACATGGGCCCTTCAGGATCTATAAGTCAGTGATGAGGAGGTGAACAAAATTTTGATTGGAACGGAAAGCAGCATGGCCTGGAAGTGTCAGAAGATACAGGATTCATCCATCCATCCATCCATTCATCTAACATTCACTGCATACTTAACTGTCAGACACTACTTGGGTCCATCCATTCATTCATTCATTAAGCATTCATTGCATTCTTAACTGTCAGACAGTGGGGAAGTGAGAGACTGCAATAAATCAAGAGACAAAAACCTCTACTCCACGAAGCTTGTAAGATATCTAGTGGAGATACACAAAGGCTATATCAGATGATGAGAAACTGGGGTGGGGTGCGGTGGGGGGGGGGCAGATAAGGCTGCAAAGGAAGCTTGGGAGCATAAGATGGGGCAGCCAGGAAAGGCTTCTCTGACAAAGTGTCCCAAGAAAGTGGAGAGGCAAGGTGCAGATTCCTGGGAGAGGAACTCAGCAGTCCAGGCAAGGCCTCACTCAAACTTGCTGCTGCCTGATCTGAGCAATAGGAGGAGGAGCTAGGGCTGATGCTCCCTGGGTCTTCTCAACTCTCAGTGTACCCTCCATGGTCTGCTTCCTATCAGCCATCAAAGCCATGCTCGACTGAACATGTGCAGACCCCATACCACCGTACTCATGTCCTTCCAGCCTCCCACCATCAAGAGATTACCCTACAGGACAGCCTCTTTGGCTTCCACCCCCCTCTGCAATTTAGCGAGGGTGTCACAATTCTGAGTTTCCATAATAACCTATACACATACCCCTGTCCCTCCAGCACCATGGACCAGCCTATCGTCATTGTCCACCTGCTCCTCTAGACTGAACTCCCTGAGGGCCATGACCATGCCCTGCCCATCACTACATCCCCACCTCTAGCATGGGGCACGCATGTGTGTGTGTGCTTAGTTGCTTCAGTCATGTCCAATTCTTTGCGACCCCATGGACTATAGCCCCACCAGGCTCCTCTGACTGTTGGATTCTCCAGGTAAGAATACTGGAGTGGGTTGCCATCTCCTCCTCTAGGGAACCTTCCTGACCGAGGGATCAAACCCACATCTCTTATGTCTCCTGAATTGGCAGGCTGGTTCTTTACCACTAGCTCTACCTGGGAAGCAGTTCCTCACTAAACTGGTGCTGAATGATGAACGTTGAAAGTATAGGTGAGTTCCTTGAGGGCAGGGCCCAGGGCTGATTAATCTAGTAGCCCCAGAAGGCAGCGGCGTGCCTGGTACAACAGAGGTAACTACAAATATGCTATGCGAATTGGTGCCCCCCTGCCCTCCCCCAACTGTGTTGGCATTTTATCCAGGCAGCCAGGTCATCCTCAATCCCCGACCATGGAGGTCCAGGGCCAATCCAGATGTGGTCCTCTGGAGTTTAGACCAGGGCTCAAGGGTAGGGAGCACCATTTAGGTTTACATATGCTGTGGGATTTCTCTGATTTGTGTCTGCATTAATCTCCGACAAGCCTTAACCTCATCCTTAAGCTTCTGTGCCCAGAGATAATTTGGTGTTTGGAGCTATGGTTTTTCCAAGCTATCCATTTTACAAATCAAAACCTAATATGGAGCGCCCTCCAACGCCATGGGAGGCTCTAGAAGGCAGCCTGGCAAAGGCGCGGCTGGTGTTCTGCTCCGCCGCTTTCTGAACTCCATGGAAATCAGGACAAAATTGTCTCTGCCTGCTTCCCATCTTCCCTTTCAACACCTAATCCAAACTTCTTTTAAAAACAACCACGAGGGATTGAGAAATCAATTAGATGGTAGACACCATCTAATTCCACTCTGACATTTGACAGCTGGGGAAAGCAGAGCCTAGAGAAGAAAAGTGGCACCAGCTTCCAAAAACAGACATGACTGTCTCCACTTGACAGAAGACTACACTGAGGTTCAAAACCTAAGAAACCAACTCACAGTTCCACGGCTAGTAATTGGCACGGCCAGAACCTCCCAGGTCTGTCTGACTCTAAAGGCGAACACTGTCAATGCCATACTCTGCCAGTCCAAACGGGAGCATTCCCACGGCTCCAAGGAAGCTGTGGGGCCCAGGGTGCCTGAACAAAATCCCACAGGCCTCTGGGGGCTGCCAGAGTCTCAAGTGTCCCACTCAGGCACTTCCTGCAGCTCAACGAAAAAGCTGCGGGAGGAGCTTCTCTGACGGACTGCAGTATCTTCTACTTCCCCAGGCAGGCGACAACAGTGTTCTTCGAACTTCCTTTGAAAGCTTTGCAAATTGGACTTTCAAAGGGTTGAGATTTCTGTGTAACATCACATAAAAAGGAGCCATGGTGAAAGACACTGTCCTCCCTACTTCTCAGCCCTTACCTTCAGAGGTTATTTTAAGACAAGATAATCTTAGAGCTAAAAAGAGAGCCCTGAGTTTGCACATTGTATATGTGGGTGCCTGTGAATTGTGAATGTGTGCGTGCAGGCGCTCCAAAGAGTGTATAAAAATATGCTGCAGAGACGAAGGATTAAGGAGGTTCTTTTCTTTCTTCCTCTTTCTTTCCTTCCATCCTTCCTTCTTGGAATATGAAGTCACTGTAGTTTTTTCCTCCCTTAAAGATGTAAATAAACACTCAGTCACGATCTATGCTTTACCTAACACACTCGTAGAGAGCTCTTGCTATAATCATAGCTGCCAGGAGGTGATGGGTGGTGGGGGTAAGGCGACATCTCAACCATCAGAGCAGATCTGAAGAAAAGCAGGTCGCCTTCAAGTGACATTGGAATTAGCGTTGGAGCTTGTATCTGTAAGTTTATCCTGCAGAGGTTTGTTTGATTTTTTTTTTTTATCACACAGCACCGTGAAAAGAACATACAACGAGGCTCGGGTCATGAAGACCAGCCTTCAAATACCTTTTCTGCCTCTTATATTCAGATTTGTTTGTTTCTGTGTCTGAAACTGAAAATACTATAATCAAAACACATCTCGTTGGGCTACTGAGAGAATCTCAAAGTCATAGCACGAGCACGACACAGTGCCTGGCACATAGAATGCACCAGAAACCTATCAGCACTTTTACTTTACAAAACAGTGAAATTATATTTTGTAAAATTGCTTCCAGACCTGGGTAAAATACAAATGGAGCAGGAAATGAAATATCATTGTTAAACTGTCCTTTCTCAGAGCAAAGCAAAAACAAAAACAACAGAAAAATAAAGTATGGTGGGAAGTGCTATCCATGACTTAAAAATCCATGTTTAATATTTTTAGAGGTTGGGGCCCACCTTGTAGCTCTGTATCCTAAGTAACGGGAAGCCCGGAGGCCTCCAGACTTGGAAAGGACTGGGGGAAAGAAACAAAACAAAAAAACCTCTCTGCTGTTTTTTCCAACTCTTAATTATGTTTTTTAAATACGAAAGCAAAACGCTCTTTTTCCAAACAACTTTATGCTCCTCTGAGCTATGTCTGACCTCTCAGCGCCTTTTTGCTCTAAACTCCATCAAAGCAGCCAAAAGCAGGAAGTGCCTTGGCATAGGAACCTCATTCAAGGGGAGAGGAAAGGCAGGGGGACCATATTTAACTGACAAACAGAAACAGACCAGCAGCTGTCTATCTGTGTGGCAGCCGGAGGGGAGTACGGTGCTTCACCTGCACCAACCGTCCCAGCATTTCCAGGAAGCATGGCCACGGCAAGGCCAACACGGGGCCTCAGACCATGGCTCCACCGCTAGTTGAAGGCCCTCCAACACACTGTGATCCTCTGTGGGCCTTGGTCTCTAGATCTGAGCACTGGGGCTAAGGATTTCCTAGTTCATTGTGTTATTATGAGGTCACCTATGCTCATGGATGCAGAAGGATTCTGCAAAACTCAAAATCACTCTGTAGACAGATAATGACATTTAAAGCCTATCCATCAGAAGACAATGGAGGAGGACGTGGCATGGAGAACATTATGAGGAATTTGATCAGAAGGCATGGATTTGAATGATAGTTCTGGTGTCTATGTGAATTTTGGCACTTTGCTTGAATTGTCTGAGCCTTACTTAGTAACCCTTTCCCACAGTAGAGATAATATTACTTATAACAAAGTTCTTAGAAGGATCAACTGAGTTAATGGATTTTCAGAAAATGGTGCTTGTTACCACAGAATATTATACAAGTGTCTTTATCACTTAATCATTCCAAAATGGGTGCTCAATCTTTACCAAGCAGCCATGGTAAATATTATTTTTATTTAAAAAATGGAAAATGACTTCTGCTAACGCAGTGGCAGGGCTCAGAATAGAAGCTAATTCTTCTAGCCAACCTCTTTTTCAAAGATTCCTCGGTGAAGTCTGGCCCTAACCACCATGAGGGCTCTGTGTACAGACGAGATTTAAGCTGGGGTTGGACTTCACTGGAATCAGAGACAAAGTACTTACCACCAGATACAGCATAGTGTACATGGAGAAGGAGGCGTGGCCGGAGAAGAAGGACTTCCTGCAAGAGCAAAAGATGGCTGTGTAAGGGCTGTACTCACATCCCCACCGCACGCTGCTTGGTCTGCCTCCCTCCCGGGACTGTGGCCCTGAGAGGAGCACCTGTTCATCCCTGCATCTGTGTGGTGCTTTGGACACCTTGCCTGTGACGTAGCAAGCACCCATGAGTGAACAAGTAAACGAAAGAAAAAACAAGTGAATGAATGGACTTACCAAAGCTCCATTGTAATTGCTTTTACGATCTATCAGTTATTTGACTGTGAGTTCCTTAAGAATGGGGGCATTGCCTTATTCATCCATCTAAACCAGGGCCCCAGCACTGAGCTTGGTACTAAGTAAGTACTCCCTGAACTGCCTGCAGCAAAGGCGTGAACCTCATGCCATGGGAGGTGGGATCTCACCTGGCTTCCTGGACTTTGCTGTCTTCGCCTCTGCATTTGTAGTTTTGAATATAGCCCACAGAGCAGTTGATTTGACTGAAATCAGGGTTGCAGACGTTCAAGAAGTGAGGACGCAGGCGCCCTATGGAGACCTTGGCAATGTCTGTGAAGGACTGGCTGATGGCACAGCCAAAGAGGAAGCAGCCCACCTGCTTGTAGAGGGCTGCCACGTAGGGATTCTGAATCGTCGAGCGGGACTTCTCCTTCAGGTAATAGATGCGGTAGAATTCCCCTGTGATGATCTGAAAGACAACGGATAGGGAAGTGAGGCAGCATCAGGACCTATTAACAAAAGTGAGGCTACAAGGATAGACAGTGACATAAGAAGATATTCAGGACATAGCTATAGGTTATAATCTAGAAAAATCCCAATTTTCTATTCAAGAAGTACATAAGGCACCAATGCGAGTGGGAGAAAAGACTGAAGTACTAATACAGTACTAACACAGTCATTTTTTCCTTATATAAAAAGTCCTACATGGCCATATAGAACCTTTGTAAGAAGAAACATATGCAATCAAATACAGTCATGTGTAAATATATAACATATAAAATATATATTAATATATATATTAAGATACAGATATCCATGTGTGTGTGTGTGTGTTGGGTTGGCCAAAAGTTAGTTTGGGATTTTCCATACCATCTTACAGAAAAATCTGAATGAACTTTATAGATATCCACGTGTGTGTATGTGTGTATGAGTGTGTGTGTGTATGTGTGTGTATCGGGTTGGCCAAAAAGTTAGTTTGGGTTTTTCCATACCATTGTACAGAAAAACCTGAATGAACTTTTTGGCCAACCCGATACACACATGTGCATGCACACACACACTAACAAAGAGAAAGACAAATAAGGACTTAGCTATTGAGGAACCAAAATCATGATTAAGGCTGGCCAAGGTGGCGCTAGTGGTAAAGAAGCTGACTGCCAATGCAGGAGACGTAAGAGGCGTGGGTTCGATCCCTGGGTCAGGAAGATCCCCTAGAGGAGGAAATGGCAGCCCACTCCAGTATCCTTGCCTGGAGAATCCTATGGACAGAGGAACCAGGGCTATAGTCCATAGCGTCGCACAGTCCCACGTGACTAAAGCGACTCAGCACAGCACGACAAGATGTCAGAGGGCCTGAGCAAATCTCCAGATTCTAGGACTGGGGGTCACGAATCACCAACTATGATCAAACTCTACACAGGGCCTTCGCCTGTGCCACACTGAGTCCTGGCTGAGGTTTCTTCAGGAAAGGATGAATGCTCCCTGACACGGTTTTGGGTTTGAATCCAGGCTTTGTCACCTACCTGGTGTCCTTCAGAAATAACTTAAACCTCTACAGAGGTACTGTCAGAAATGTGGCAACTGGTGGAAATGCCCTGGGTCACAGAAAGGGATTCTTTCATTTTACTCTTAAGAAGTAGGGCATGATGAAAAGAGTACTAGCTTACAAACCGAGAAACTTTTATACAAGGCCTTTCAGAGTTTGTGAATTCCCAAGGGTGCCTGCATTGTCTCTTCCATCCTGAAAGACAGTGAGTCAGTCTGGGTTTTCATATCCTTCCTCCATCCCACTGTGTCTACTCTTTAATGTTTAGGGGAGATTCATCACTTTTTTTAAAAGAAGGGGGGAAAAAAAAAAGAGCCAGCAACGATTGATTATGAACAGCATGTCAGTCTTTATTTTTTATGTACTTTATGACACCCCCACAACTACCAGGAGATAGACTGAGACTCAGAGAGGAAAAGCACTCTAACCAAAACTGCCTGCTTTTACAGGCAGGTAAAGAATGGTGGGGGCTTGGGGCAGGGAAGGGGGTCAGCTGACTGTCTGTAAGGTAAACACCTTAAATGCCTACACAGCTGAGGATAAGTCCTGCACTAGTGATATACCACTGCTCAGCCCGCTGCCCTTGACTTAACTCTACAGAACAGCCCTGGCCACTTCCTGGTCACAACCACAGTTCAGGGACAGCGATGTTCAACTCATCACTCACCACAAAGTCCTTTTCACACTTCCTCACAGGGAAGGCTGATGAGCCATACTTGCCCTTTCAGGAAACAGAGAGCATGTTCACAACCACAAGGGGAGCAATAGACTGACACATCCGGGCACTCTTCTCATAGTCTCCCCTCATTCTTTTTTAGCTAGGGAAGGCATCCAGGCTGAGTGTCTGATCCAAGTCCAGGGCTCCCAAGTCTGGAGGGGAGGATGGCCATGAAATGCCAGCTGGGCCCAGGGGCAAGCAGGTGCAGCCGTGAGAACAGCTACTAGTGCTGCTAACGTTTATACAGTGATTCTGTGTTTATAAATGCTGGTGATTTCTCAGTGCTACCCTTCGGTTTCCTGGATCATATTGAATTTCCTAGATCATATGATTCCATTAGAGAGATGGTCAAAGGCCAGCCCTGTCTGGCATCCTGGCTTAGCCATTCTCTGGGAGAGCAGCAGGACTATTAAATGAATAAATGAATGAAAGGGGGCAAGATGGTGGTCCATACGGTTGTTTTCATTGCAAAATTGGAAATGTCCTCTAAACATTACCAAGAGTCCTTTGACAACATGCTGCAGAGATTAAAATCTGAGAAGCCTAGCCAGTCATAAATGAAAGGGTCCATTATATACGGAAGAAACTGAAGTTCAAATTAACTCACATCTAAAGATTAGACCCAGGTGTTCTAATTCTCCACCCAGCATTCTTTCCTACCATTCATGGTCTAATTCCCCTTTTGAACCTGTTTATACTTTTACCCTGTGTAACCTTATGGGCTAATATGTTCCAGATGTTTATTACCACCATCATGTTCTCTCTTTCTTCTTCTTCTTTTTTTCAAAGTCTCACTTTGACTTTAGACATGGGGGGAAATGCACTAAACTAGGAGTCAAGGAGCCAGAGTTCGAGTCCATTTGCAAAATGAAGGCCCTAGACTCCGTGATTAATAACTTCATAACTTCAGTGGCATTTATTCCCAGCTCTCCAGTGCTGCCTTCACCAGTAGCCTCTCATCAAAGCAAAGATAAGAAGCAGCAGGAAAGGAAACATACTTGCTCAGATATGACACAAGCCAAGAACAGAATCAAGGCCCCATGCATAATTCCTGCCCTAGGATGACTCCTGAGTTCCTTGAACCATCCACTGAAACAGATAAGAAACTGTTTCTAAATGGGCATGTCTTGGGTGTGATTTCCAATTTGATGCTGAAAAAGAACACGTGGGTTCCCACTGCAGATCAGCATCTCTTCCATCATTTCATGTCACCTCTCGGCTTCAGTCATCTCAGGGAGAAAGGGTTTGGTTACATCTCAAGGACAATCTTTAGCTCTCATACCCTTCATTCTGAAACTTCAGTTTTCAATGCCACAGTCTTGCAAACAGCAAGCTAAGTAAAATGCTTCCTCCTCTCACGGGAAGATAAAGATAAAAAGAGAACATCTGATGGCCCCTCAAATTCCCAATAACAACTCTAATACTACTAGCAATCTTTTATATTTCTTTTGCAACTTACAGTTTCATTTAATCTGCAATCTATGAGGACAATATACCCAGTTTACTGATGGCAATACTAGGGCACTGAGAAATAGTGACTTATCTGAAGGATTTGAGGCTGTTTAACTGTCAAAAAGCTGACAGTTAAGAGTAGAGCCCAGATATTCTAACTCTCAAGCTCAAAGACCCACAGAAGACTACATCAAGATCATTTTTATTATTTCTGTTATTAAAAACAATTTCCACTATAGAATAGCAACTGTGTATTTTCAAGGACAGGATCAGGCTGAAGCCATTTAGCAGACATATGACTCCAGGACCACATGGCTTCTGGGGCAGCCCTGACAGATCTTGGAGTTAATGAGCAACAAATTATGTATTTTCTCCATCCCCTTGTACAGAAGGGTCGGGGAGTTGACAATACAGCCATAAATCATCATTATGAACTGGCCAGGTTTGGCTTCTTGTAATCCTAACCCTTAAAAGACCATTTAATGAAATTCGGGCTGCCCAAATACCTCACTTCTGCAGAAGAGGCGAAGGCTTAAATTGTTCTCCGACACGTTACACACCTAACTCTGGAGTTCCAGATTTACTGCTTTCGGACTTTATTCATTACTCGCAATGTTTTTATTCCCGGGTAATAAAATAAGCTCTTCCCTCCCCCCCCCTCCCCTTACAAAGGCTCTGTCCCCACTCGCAGACTCTGGCCCCTGGAGCCCTCATTTCTGCTTCAGTCAGCAAAGTTGTGATATGTAAATTTCACAGCTGAGAAAAAAGCCTTCCATGTCAATTCCTTTCTGAAACAGCAAGCAACAGATTCTGGGGGTGATGGCAGGCTTCCAGGCGAGCAGAGGAGAATTCTCCCCTACCTGCCTTTTAAAGCACTTGGCACAAAATCTGGAAACTAATAAAGTGGGAAAGCATTGCAATTACACTATGAGGGGACAGAAAGGGATCAATCAGTCCTCGCCAGAGAATGGCTGAGTTTGGAGGGAGGTTGCCTCCCACTCTTAAGACAGCTCCTCTTCCAGTCTTTGGTATACAAGAGCTCAATTGCCCACATATTCACAAATATTGAGCTGCTCTGGAGAGGAAATTTGGAAAAACATTAGGAGAGACATTTTGGAAAGGAGAGATTACACGGTGGTGAAAGAAGCACTTACTTTTGGAGCCAGAAAAATCTTGATCTGTATACCCCATCTCTTACCATGAACCTAGACAAGTGACTTCACCTCCCTGGGCTTAGGTCTCCTTGTCTATGAAATAAGAGTAATATCTTGACAGGTACATACTGCTATATTTAAAACAACCAACAAGGACCTACTGTATAGCAACAGAAATTCTGTTCAATATTCTATAATAACGTAAATGAGAAAAGAGTTTGAAAAAGAATTGATACATGTATATATATAACTGAATCACTTTTCGGTACATATGAAACTAACACAACACTGTTAATCAACTATACTCCAATATAAAACAAAAATTTTAAAGGAAAAAAAAGAAATCAAAAATTTTAAAAGGATTAAAATCTACCTGGCAAGATCCTTGCCAGGGGAATCAAGAAGATGATATATCAAATATCTGGCACCTAGCAGAAGAGCTCTGCAAACCATAATGTTTTTTTTTCCTTCCCTTGAAAACAAAGAAACAAAAAATTAACACAGGCATACCATTTTATTGCACTTTGCAGATACTGTTGTTGTGGTTGTTGTTTTTTACAAATTGAAGGTTTGTGACCACCCCCGCATCAAGCAAGTCT